CAGAAAAGGCATTTGATTTCTGATTAAAAAAGAACAACCAAAAAAAAAAAACCCCTCAACAAAATAGGAATAAAAGGAAATGTTCTCAACATAATTTAAGGCATATAACAAAACCAAGATTCAACATCACTCTCAACTGCAAGAAACTGAAGGCATTCCTCTTGCAAACAGAAACCAGGTAAGGATGTTACGAATCGGGCTACTAACCTCAGGGTCAGCAGTTCAAAACTACTAGCTGTTCCATGGGAGAAAGATGAGGCTTTCTGCTCCTGTAAAGATTTATAGTCTTAGAAACCCTGTACAGAGTTGCTATGAATTGGAACCAACTCTGCGGCACATAACAACAACAAGAATGTAATATGGTGCTAGAAGTATTAGCCAGAGCTGTAAGGCAAGAAATAAAAATAAAAGGCATCCGAATTGGCAAAGATGAAGTAAAACTCTCACTATTTGAAAATTATATGGTTCTACGACTCAACAGCACTTAACAACAACAACATACCTTAAAAATCCCAAAGATGCTACAAGAAAACCACTTGAACTCATTGAAAGATTCAGCCAAGTGGCAGGATACAAGATCAACACACAAAAATCAGTTGGATTCCTTTGTATTGATAAAGGTAGCTCTGAAAAGGAAATCCGGGAAACAATACCATTTGCAACAGCCACTCAAAGATTAAATACTTAGAAATAAATCTAACCAGAGAAACAAAAGACCTATACAAAGAAAACTATAAAACACTCCTACAAGTACTGTGGGCTAATGAGTCAGACTGCAAAGTCATTTGAACTGCAAGGTTGGTAGTTCAAGCTTACCAGCTACTCCTTGGAAACCCTATACGGGTCGTTATAGGTCGGAATCGACTCGATGGCCCTTAAAAACAACAACAAGAAACCAAAAGATACTTATAAAAATGGAAGAATATACCATGTTTATGGATGGAGTCCTGGTGTGGCAATGTAGGATAAGCACTGGGCTGCAAGGTTGGTTTGAACAGCAAGTTGGCAATGCAAACTCACCAGCTGCTCCTTGGAAACTCTGTACAGGGTCGCTATGAGTTGGAACTGACTTGATGGCACTTAACAACAACAATAACAACATACCATACTTATGGATAAAAAAAATTATTATTGTGAAAATGTCAACACTACCCAAAACAGTCTATAGATATATTGCAATCCCAATCCAGGTTCTAACAGCATTCATTAAAGAGATGGAAAAACTAACCCCCAATGTAATATGGAAAGGTAAGAGATCCTGAATAAGCAAAACACTACTAAAAACAAAGAACAAAATAGGAGGCCTCTCACTTCCTCATCTCAAAACCTCCTCCACAGCCACCATAGTCAAAACAGGTACTGACACTGGTACACTGACAGACACACAGACCAATGGAACAGAACCAAATATCAATAACAGAAGTAAATCCACCCACCTAGACTCAGTTGATATTGACAAAGGACCAAAACACATTAAATGGGAAGAGAACATCTTCAAAAAATGGTGATGGCATATCTGGAAAAAATCCATTTACAGAAAAATGAAACAAGACATTTATCTCACACCATACATTGAAACTAATTCAGCATGGATTAAAGACTTAAATACAAAACCTAGAACTATAAAGATCATCAATGAAACAATAGGGACTCTGTTACATCACATAAATACACGATCAAATATGGCTGAAAACACAGAAGCAGCAGAAGACAAAATAAAAAACTGGAAGCAGCTCCTAAGAAGTGGCCATTTATGTATAGCTAAGGATTTCACCAGCCAGAAAAGAGAACCCACAGGCTGGGAAAAATTTAGCAATGACATTAGCAGGCAAGAGGCTACAGCTGTAAAAATTATAGAAAAAATTAACACCTCCACAAGAAGCAAATAACCCAATTAAAAACTGGGCAAAAGACGTTAACAGACACTTCACCAAAGAAGACATTCAGGCAGCCAATAAACACATGAAGAAATACTTGTGATCATTAGCCATTGAGAGATGCAAAACAACAATGAGATAGCATCTCATCCCAGCATTAATTGTAAAGTTCAAAAAAAAAAAGAAAAGAAAAGAAAACAACAAACGCTGACGACTGTATGAAGAGACTGGGACCCTCCTACACTGCTGATGGGACTATATCCACAAGAAACAAGAGTCATGACAGGAACAGATCTATACACACATAGGTTCTACTCATGGCAGTATATACATACCTATATGTTGTTGTTGTTGTTATGTGCCGTGGAGTCGGTTTCCACCCATAGCGACCCTGTACAGGGCTTCCAAAGCTGTAAATCTTTACGGGAGAAGAAAGCCACATCTTTCTCCTGCGGAACAGCTGGTAGTTTTGAACTGCTGACCCTGAGGTTAGTAGCCCGATTCGAAACCACTACGCTACCAGAGCTCCTTCACCAACACTATTCACAATAGCAAAAAGATGGAGGCAGCCTAAATGCCTACTGACAGCAGAATGGCTAAACTAACTTTGGTACATACACACAATGGAATATTACACAGCACTTTAGAATAACAACAAATCTGCGAAATGCTTCACAACATGGATGAACCTGGAAGACATTTCGCCAAGTGAAATTAGTCAACCACAAAAGGACAAAAATTCTATGAGATCATTGTTGTAAGAAAATGCTGGGTCGCTATGAGTGGGTACTGACTCCACGGAACAACAGTTGAAAAAACAATCAAACAATGCCTGAAATACGTTCTTGTTTCTTTTTCTTTTTAAAAAGCTTTTATTGTAAATTGAGTGATAGTTTACACAGCAGAGCATCGGCTTTGCACTCATCCTATCATGTTTCCTTTCATTGCAAAGATTACAACCCCCTCCATGCATCATCATTCAACAGTATTTCCTTCTGTTCCCCGTCCTTGTTTTGTAAATATGTTTTCATATTTTAAACTGGAATGTTAATGATTGCCTGGCTCTGCCTGGGGTCTGGTCCCTTGTTTGTAACATCTGATACGGAGCAACCACCTGGACAAACAAGCTCCAGGATCGTTAATCACGCATTCCTTCGACATGGCAATTAGGGTATCTTGACAACCTTCTGATTTAGTGCAAAATAACAGAATTATAGCCCACCTGCATGTTGTACTGATTAACATTGTTGAAGAACTACTGTTGAGTAGATTCCCACTCAGCGTGACCCTGTAAAGAGTTTCCCAGCAGCAGCTTGTGGATTTGAACTGCCATCTTGCGGTTCAAATCGACCTTTCCGTCCAGGAATCAGTATAAATAAATATTTATGTAAGTAGTACGAATATTATTTGTAGCCAAATGCTAACGGAACACCAATTAAGCCAGCCTGTTTGCTTTGGGGTATTCCGTTAGTCAATTTCCAAATAATAATTATACAGGCTTTTCTCTTTCTCTGCTTCCCCTGGCATGTTTATGGGCTGAGCTCAATTTCTCCAGGGCCTCAGACCCAAGATTTGAGGATAACACCACCACTGTCCTGGTGTGGCTCTGTGGGTTAATGCGCCAGACTGCAAAGTCGTTTGAACTGCAAGGTTGGCGGTTCAAGCTCACCAGCTGCTCCTAGGAAACCCTATACAGCGTCGCTATGGGTCAGAACTGACTCGACGGCACTTAACAACAACAAAAGCTATGAGGCACGACGCCTTCTCCTGGCCTCATTGCACCTCCAGGCTCACTAAGATGTCACCAGGATCCTTCAGGTTGTGACTCAAGGTGCCACCTGGCCACTGAATCCCTCTTTTCAAGCACGTGTAGACACACTCTGCAAGGGGACAGTCCCAGTTGAAGAGACGTCCTCCTCCCGCCCAGCCAGTGGCGTCGCGCAGAGACCAGAGGGGCACTTTCATATCAGCCAACGAGGACTCAGCAGCCTTTGAAAGCCACAGCCACACGCCCTTTTCCTCCCCGCCCCGTTGGCTGGGGATCCTAATAAGCATAGCTCCGCCCACAAGCTACTACCACACTGGTAGGGTCGCTGCATACTTTCGTAGGTTTTCCTTCGCTTTTCTGCGACACACCAATGAGGACGTTGAGGACGTTCTACTCCTGAGAGGCCCGCGTTCCATAGGCTGGTTAGGCGGCCGGTACAGCATTTCCTCTCTGTTTAGACCCTATCCCACTGCACCCCAAACGCCCATTTTCCCTGATAGACAAGACTGGATGAAGCAGGCAACACGTTATTGGTCGGGGGCTGGTATAGTCAGAACTGGGGTGGGGTGGGGAAACTTACGCCCTCTCGTGAAAAAAATAGAATCATTTAGAGCCTTCCTATTGGTCTCAGGAATTGTCATTCAGGTGATGGGGAGTTGCGTAAGCCATCAAACGTACAGTATTGGTCAGAATTAAAGAAGGCGGGATAGAGGCGGAGCGTACCCTTGTCTCGATTGGGCCAGAACGGACGTAGTCCTACCCTGTCTACTCCAGGATTGGCCGAGAACCTTCCTCACACCAAAGGTAAGAGAAGCTTGCCCGGCTTACCTCAGGTGACAGCTCGAGCCGGAACCGTGGGGCGCAGAGACCAGGGAACTCTGCGTCCTGGACCAGATCTGACGTAGCTCCTGGAGTGGCGTGCGCCATTTCAATGGTGAGCTAGTACTAGAGGGCAGTGGGAACGGAGGGGCTGGGGCATCGCTAGGAGAAACTAAAAGCTCCAAAACCGGAAGTCCCTCGAGAGTGGCATCACACCCGGAAGTGTAGCTAGCAGGCAGTCGCACCCGGAAGTGTGAAGCTGCCGCCGCTGCGGGAGATAGTGATATCGGGTCATTTGAGCCATGGATTGAGAACAGGTGTTTTTGTATCTTTTATTTCCTGCGAGCTGGTCGAGCTTCCCTTTTGAAAGTTGGAAGGTGTGGCACCTTTGGCTCATGACTTTGAATGTCTCAGCTGCTTGAAGCCCCTGGAGAGTCAGACTCGAGCTGTGTGGGCCAGGAGGCGGGGCTCGGTGAAGGCTTTTAAGAAGTTTCTGGGGGTGCCGGTCATTCCCGTACCTCGCCCTCCCCAGGGATGTGCAGATGGACGCCGGAGGAGACACTGTTGCTCCAGCCCCAGGGGACGTGGAGGACTTGGAAGCCACGCGCTTCTCCAGGGAGGATGCTGGAGATGGCGGAGGGGTTCCCAAGGGCCCACCAGACCTCAGAGATGGGGGCCTACAGGAAACAGGTGACTTGGTTGGGGGGGGGGTGGTCATCATTTTGAGCGGGAGAGCCCCTGGAGACTCAAGCACCTGGCTGGGTTAACAGGTGTCGTGGATGGAGTTGACGTGGTTGCGAATGGAATGGAAAGGAAGCCAGTGAGGGTCCGTGGACATTCAGCGAGAGGTGGTGAATTGGTCTTTCGAGACCAGTGTGCGGGAGGGATCCGTGAATGTCATAGGGAGCATGGTGCGAATGGATACTCATCGTGGTCATTGGAGTATCAGTGGACATCAATGGGAGTACACGGGAGAGTGGCGGGGAGGCGGTGGAGGTCAGTGACAGTACTGACAGTACTCAACAAGGGCTTAGTGACTTGTTGAGGTCTGTAGCAGTGGAAGTGATGAAAAAGCCGTTTGTCGGTGAATATTAATGGTGATCAGCCAGACTTGGGTGGGTGTTGTTGTTGTTGTTAAGTGCCGTCGAGTCGGTTCCGACCCATAGTGACCCTGTACAGGGTTTCCGAGGGTGTAAATCTTTACGGGAGTAGAAAGCCTCATCTTTCTCCCGCGGAGCGGCTGGTAGTTTCGAACCGCTGACCTTAAGGTTCGCAGCCCGATTCGTAACCACTACGCTACCAGAGCTCCTTTGGGTGGGTGTTACTGGTAGTTAATTTCTGTCATTGAAAGGGGACTTATCGGGTGCAGTGAGTACCATGAGCAACTATGGGATTATTTGGCCATCAGGGGGAATCTGTAAGCCTGTGTTCGTGGACGCCATTTAGTGGAGACCACGGGCAGTCAGTGGGGTCTGGATCAGGGGCTGGGGAGACACCTGGACATGTGCCCCAACACGCAGGGCTCATTGGGAGGCTGCTGGGAATTTGATGGAGGGACGATTTTCCCAGCAAGGGCTCCATTTCAGCATCCCAGGGCAAGGAGCAGTCACCAGGCGTGCTGCCATCGCTGCCCCAGGCCGAGGCCCCGTCAGGCACCTGTGAACTCTGGAGCCCTACAGCCCCTGCGAGTGGCACCGCGGGCCAGGCCGGGGACCCCAGTGACGAGGACTGGCGCAGCCAGCGCAAGCACGTGTTTGTGTTGAGCGAGGCAGGCAAGCCTATCTACTCCCGCTACGGCAGTGTGGAGGCTCTGTCGGCCACCATGGGCGTGATGACAGCGCTCGTGTCCTTCGTGCACAGTGCCGGTGATGCCATCCGCGCCATCTATGCCGGTGAGCCGGGGGATAGTCTTTTGGGGGGGCTGTGCCATCAGGGGGAGGTGCATCACTGTGTGGACCCGGTTCCAGCTCCCTGTCTGGGGTCCGTGTGCGAGTGGGGCTGGCTACCTTCGGAGACATAGACTCAGCGGGCTCCAGGGGGCTGGCCCGATGCTTCCTGGTTAGGTGGGAGTGTGGACTGCCTTTTGCTTGGTTTGTGCGGCTGAGCTGGAAGACTTAGCCCTTGCTCCTTCACCCCACAGCTCTGCACCCAGATCCCTTTAGAGTACCCTTCTGTCTGGCACCCCCAGCCCTGCCATGCTAGAGTAACTGTGGAGGACTCAGGCTGTGGGGAAGGAGGGCCCCTGCGCCCAGCTCTGACCCATGTCTCTCTCTGCTCACCCATCCGCTCCGCAGAGGACCACAAGTTGGTGTTCCTGCAGCAGGGCCCACTGCTGCTGGTGGCCGTGTCCCGCACCCCGCAGTCGGCCGCCCAGCTGCGCGGGGAGCTGCTGGCAGTGCACGCACAGATTGTGAGCACCCTGACCCGCGCCAGTGTGGCCCGCATCTTCGCTCACAAGCAGAACTACGACCTCCGCCGCCTGCTGGCCGGCTCAGAGCGCACACTGGACCGGCTTCTGGACAGCGTGGAGCGGGACCCCGGGGTGCTGCTGCTGGGCGCTGTGCGCTGCGTGCCCCTGGCGCGCCCGCTGCGGGAAGCCCTGGGCGCCCTGTTACGGCGCTGTACCGCCCCCGGCCTGGCGCTCTCGGTGCTGGCGGTGGGCGGCCGGCTGATCACCGCAGCCCAGGAACGGACGGTGCTGACCGAGTGCCGGCTGGACCCAGCCGACCTGCAACTGCTGCTTGACTGGGTGGGCGCGCCGGCCTTCGCGGCGGGCGAGGCATGGGCGCCCGTGTGCCTGCCTCGCTTCAACCCTGATGGTTTCTTCTATGCCTATGTGGCCCGCCTTGATGCCATGCCCGTCTGCCTGCTGCTGCTGGGCACCGACCGGGAGGCCTTCCATGCCATGGCCGCCTGCCGACGCATGGTTGAAAACGGCATGCGTACCCTTGGGGCCACCCACGATCTTGCAGCCATTGCTGGCCTCTCTAATGCACCTTCGGCCAGTGCCCCTGCCTACAGTGTGCGGGCCGTCGGGGCGCCCGGCCTCCGACACTTCCTCTACAAGCCGCTAGACATTCCGGACCACCACCGCCAGCTGCCTCAGTTTACCAGGTGGGCCCTGACCCCGTGGGCAGTCGTCGGGCAGGAAGTTTTGTGTGAGGGGTGGTGGTGCATGTCTAGTGGGGAAGGCTTGGCTCAAACTTAATTGAAAGCCCAACACTGAGAAAGGGAGCCGGGCCAGCCAGGAAGACCGTAGCCTGACCTTGCGTCCTCCTCCCTGCACTGTAGCCCCGAGCTCGAGGCCCCCTACAGCAGGGAGGAGGAACAGTACCGCCTGTCGGACCTCTACCACTGCCTGCACGCACGCCTCCACAGCACCAGCAGGCCCTTGCGCCTCATTTACCACGTGGCTGAGAAGGAGACGCTGCTGGCCTGGGTGAGTTCCTGCCGCCCTCTTGCCCACCCCCCGCTTCTCCTCTCTAGTCCACGCTGCTGTGGCCACCATTCCGTACTGTCTTTGAGGCCAGTGACAATCAGTCACGGTGTCTCATCATTCTGTTTGCTGGCCTCCTGCGGGCAGCCGGTACAGCAGCGTCTTGGACTTTCAGGAGGTCCCATTGACAAACACCCTGTTGACTACCTTAGTTCCACGTGGTACCCTCTGTCTGGGGTCTCCTTCCCTGGGGCCACCTCTGGGTGTCCGCTTTCACATCCTCTGGGTCTGCTAAGGGTAAGCTGAGCAGGGAGTCCTGGTATAATGCTGTAGGGTGAATGTTGTTAAGTGCCTTTGAGTCCATTCTGACTCATAGCTACCCAGTATAGGGTTTCCAAGGAGCTTGTGATGAGCTTGAACCACGGACCTTGCAGTTCAAACCAACTTTGCGGTCCAGTACTTATCCTACAGTGCCACACCAGGACTCTAATGGGATAAATACTGAACTGATAACTGCAAAACTGGCAGTTCAAACCTAACAGCCACTCCTTGGAAACCCTATATAAAATCACTGTGAGTTGGAACTGACTGGGTGGCACTGAACAACAGCAGTGAACCCATTGTGTAGCAGACATTGTTCTAGACCGAGCATTTTCTTTTTTAACTTTAATTTTCAAGTCCTGTATTGCTTACAGTTCAGTTGCCCAGTGAAACACAATTCCTGTGTCCTCTTCACATCCTTCCCTTAGGTGTTAACTTATCATCATCACCCAGGAACTTATCAAATCAGAATGAGCTACAGACTTGGGTCACATTTCACTAGCTGTCCTACCACTGACCTGTACACACGTAGCCTGGATTTATTGGGCCTCCCTCATCAGACTATTCTTCAGTCCTCTTCTGTCAGTGTGGAGAATGCCCCTCAACTTGGGTGTTTCTCATGTTTTTGTCATGACTGTATTGACAAGACCGTACAGTTTGGGACAGACATGTCACACAAGGGCTGCTGCCGCCTTCACTGCAGTCCATGATGCACACAGGACATGACATGAGTTTGTCCCACTGGTGGGAATTAACTGATCATCGGGCTCAGGCTGTGTCTACCATGTTTGTCCACTGTAAAGTTAGTATTTGCCCTTTTGTAAAGTTAGTATTTGTAATTAGTATCTTGTGATGCTGTAGACTCCCTGTTTTTCGTTATTTTCAGCCACTGATTTTAACATCATTGAAGGATTCTCACCTGCAGTTATCACACTTGTGTCGGTCAAGTGGTGATTTTTCTAACTGCATCATATTCCTTCTACATTGATTGGCTGGGACTCTACTGTAAGGGAGAAATTTTCCTCTTTCTGTGTACTTCTTCAGAGTTTATTTTACATCAGTATGGGCTGGTAGGTTTTGTTTCATTCAGTGGGCTAACATCCTTTGCTATTACTTGTTAAGATGTTCAGATGATCTCTGGCTCAGCCTGGCAAGCTCCTGTTGTGTTTGGAGGAGATACCCACATCAGTGTTCTTACTTACATCTCACGATGTTCCAGACTCATTTTGTTCTTTATCTGCACCTGTTCTGGAATCATTTTTCCAAAGAAACTTGTTACCTTTTAGTGTAGACAATGATACTTAGAAACCAAAATATATGGTGGGACCAGAATGTTAAATCAAGGGAGGCCTCCTTGAAGGGAGGACTAGACCAGCTTTGGCCCATCCATCTAACTCAGTCTCCCTTCAAACCCCCAGGTGACTTCCAAATTTGAACTCTATACTTGCCTCAGCCCTTTGGTGACCAAGGCAGGCGCCATCTTGGTGGTGACCAAGCTCCTGCGCTGGGTGAAGAAAGAGGAGGACCGGCTCTTCATCCGTTGCCCGCCCAAATACTCCACACCCCCAGCTGCCTCTGTGGACCAAGCTCCCCACAATGGCGTTTTCACTGGGCTCTGAAACGCAACATTTCCAGATGGGGAGCAACTCACTTTGGCTTTTGTTTCTGACCTTCGCCTGGAGGTGTGTGGCTCAGGGAGGTGTTTGCGGGTCCCTGTCTCCCTGGGGGATGAGACAAGATCTAAAGGCCTGACCACAAATGCGGGGGTGGAACAGACCAGCTCCCCCTCTGGGAAATCCTTGGTCCTCCCCTTTCCCTTCCCTCAGCCTCACCACCTCCACCTGGAGGACGTTCCAGGGCTGTTGCCTCCAAACCTGGGCACCACCTCTGTTCCTGTACCAGGAGACTCTCGGGCGGCCCACAGGGCTGGTGGGATCCCGGGCCTGGAGCCAGCCAGAGGATAACTTCAAGAAAGAACTACATAAAGACCTAAACAGCCGCATGAGGATGCTCCTTTGCCCTGTGTGCATTTCTGTTCATCTCTGCTCTGCCAAATAAGGACCCTATCCGTGTTGGCTACTGCTAGTGTTCGTGAGGAGGGGGCACCGGCTTCTCCAAATGGTGGGGACCCAGAACTGTGACTGACAAGGTGTGAGTTCTAAGCCTCAGTTTACAAATCTATGAAGTGGGCATGACCCCGTCTCATAGACTCTCGTGTACCACTGCATGACACGTGCACACCTGGTCTAGAGCTACCCCACCTGCACACCAGGGACCTAACGGGAAAGGGACCTCAGACAAAATCTGTCTGCGCACAACGCTCATTCCCCTACTGGCTGAATCCCCCAGTTGCAGATCTTCAGTATCACACATGCGCACCAACTGCCAACCAGGCACTCCCAATAAGCGCATGCCCAGAGCTGAAATATTGTCCATACCTCTTCTACCCTGGTCGACCGACTGGCGGCTATACCTGTACGCATGCGTATTGCAGAGCCCCTTCACTCCCCGCAAGCGTTTGGACCAATCACTGGCCAGTGCGCACACGCAGGTCCTGCACTGGAAAATGGCGGGGAGTTCTGAGACTTTGAAGATGGAGCCGCTGGGAGGAGCGGACGAGGCTGAGGAGGCTGAAGGTAGTCAGGGCGAGCGGTCTGCGCCTCTGTCGGCTGGGGCCCGAGGAGGAGGGAGTCTTCCCATTCCATTCAGGATAATTGTCTTTTTCTAAATGTCAGCCTTTTTTATTCAGGGGTAAGAAAACAACCACATTCCACAAAGTGGAGAGAAACGACCATGTGCCCATTCTCATCACCTAGATGAACTCTTCTGTGCGCTCTTAGATATGTTACTTAAGTATTTTAAGGTAAACACTGAATCATGCTGTGTGTGGCGCCTAAGCCCTCTGGCAGCTGAGGGAGGAACAGGGACCCCCGAGAGCATCGCCCACAGGCCCCACCTGCCGACAGGTGTCCTCGGGCTACCCTGTGGGCTTTTAGACCTTTTCCCAGGAGCACGGCTTCTTTGTAGGGCACTGATTGTTGGATGATGCTCCCCAGCCCCTGAGGGAGGAAACTGTCAGTCTTAGAGACAAAATGACAGTCCAGCCACAGGGGGCGATCGATCGGTCGCCACAGTGGACTCGGCTGGTCTGACGATTTAGTGGTTCCGATGCCGCAGTCCCCCGGGACCAGGTAGAAGAGCCCGTATTCAGGGAGGCAGGCGGCCGCATCTCTCCCGGAGGGACAGTGGGTGGGTTTGAACCACTGCCCCTCTGGTGAGCAGCCGAGCACACCACCAACTTAAGCCGCCAACGCTTCTCACCAGCCCCCAGTAGCGTCTCTGTCTTTTTTTTTTTTTTTTTCTATCGCAATGTTCAAAATGTATCCAATAGATAAAAGCAACATGGTGAGAGCCCGCATACCCGTCACAGCGCCCTCCTGTCTGCGGTCTCTGAATCTTTCTATTAAATGTGTTGGATCGCAGCCTGCCAGAGCGACCTATGGACGCGTCAGCAATGGTTAGGAGCCCGCAATCCGTTCGCGAGCCAGGGACCCGACTACAACAGACAAGACACTTGCCCTCTGTGCTGCCCTCACAACTGCTATGTTTGAGCCCATTGTTGCTGCCATTGTCGTCCCATCTCGTGGGGGGGCGGGGGGGGGCGGAGCTTTCTCGCTGACCCTCCACTGGAACAAGCATGATGGCCTTCTCCAAAGACGGATACCTCCTGACAACATGTCCAAAGTCCGAGAGACTCCGCCACACCATCCTCCCTTCTAAGGAGCGTCCGGGCTGTACTTTACCAAGACCGATTTATCTGTCTGCTCTTCCGGCAGGCCATGGTACTCTCAATATTTTTCACCAACAACATACAACAACCACTCGCTTTTTTATCGGTCCTAGAATGTAAGTAAGTTCCCTAAGAACAGGAACTGTGCTTACTGCTGGATCCCCAGCACCTGACACAAACGCCTGTTTGGGACACAGGAAGTACTCAGTTTTCTGTTTTTCCACTTAATGTGACTAATGAGATAACTGATGCTCTGAGACTAAGGCCACCAACGAAGGACAGAAATAATGAAGGACGATCCAAATGGTGGTGGTGGTGGTGTGTTACCTCATAGTGACCCTTTTTGTACAGGGTTTCCGAGGCTGTAAATCTTTATGGGAGCAGAAAGCCTCATCTTTCTCCCACGGAACGACTGGCAGTGTCGAACTGCTGACCCTGAGGTTAGCAGCCCGATTCTTAACCACTACGCTACCAGAGCTCCGTTTGATCCAAATGTTTTGTTGTTAAGCGCCGTCGAGTCAGCAACTCAAAGCGACCCTGTATGAGCCCTGGTGTTGCGCTGTGGGTTAATGCGCCAGACTGCAAAGGTCGGCGGTTCAAGCTCACCAGCTGCTCCTTGGAAATGATTCAAATAGATCCCATTTATTAAGTGGAGTTGTGGGTTTAATGTGCGAGACTACAAGGACAGTTTGAACTGCAGGGTTGAATCAGCACCAACTGGACAGCACTTAACCGCAACAATATGACTCCTGGTATGGAGTTATATCAGCATTGGACTGTGAACCACGAGGTCAGTAGTTCAGACCCACCAGCCGCTCCTGGGAAACCCTGTACTGTATGGCTATGAGTCGGAATTGACTTGGCTGCACTTAGCAGCAACAACATGGCTGCCATAGAGTCTTGGTGTGGTACTTTAGGGTAAGGTCAGCAGTTCAAACCCACCAGCAGTTGGAAACCCTATACAGGTGACCATGAGTCAGAAGTAACTCAATGGCACGTAACAACATGGCTGCCATTATGCCAAGATGGCAATGATTATTCTTTTGAAATTAAAGATACAATTAACTACACCAGCAGAGCAGAAGACAGAAAAGAAGACCTAGTTGCTATTTTTAGCACATCCAATGATGGCAGGAATAATATCTCATATTGACAACCCTGTGGGGAAGAAGGCCTGTTCTTGTGGTACCAGAAAAGCAGCAGCTTACTAGTAAAGACTCTGCTGGAGACAGTTTGGCAGGATGTTTTCCCACATATCCAGTCACCAGGCCAGGTAATCACAGAATATACAAATTTCTGGTCCAGACATGGTTAGTGGAGTGGCACTGGAGCAAACCACAGGAACCACACCTGTGCAGCAATTTTTGCTTTTAAGCAGAAAAAATATATACAAATTAAATACTCACTTAAAAAAGAACAGAAGACGTTCAAGTGGCCAATGAACATGAAGAAATGCTTGCGATCACTGGCCATTAAAGAGATGCAAATCAAAGCAGCTGAGGTGCCGTGTTACCCCAGCCTTAATAGCAAAGTTCAAAACACACACACAGAGAAAATAGCAAATGCTAAAGGAAGTGTGTAGACATTGGGACCCTCCTACATTGCTGGTGGGCCTGTGAAATACAATCACTGGAAAACCAGTGTAGCTCGGCCTTAAAAAGTTGGAAGTAGAAGCACCTTATGACTCAGGATATATCCTTAAGAAATAAGAGCCGTGACACAAATATGTATATATATACACTCTTGTTCATTGCTGCGCTGTTGACAATAGCAAAAAGATGGTGACTGTCTAAGCGCCCATCTCCAGAAAAATGGATAGAGACACTTGGATGCATACATACAGTGGAATACTGCACACTGTCAGAGAGTAATGATCTGCAAACCGTCTCATAACATGGGGGAACCTGGAGCACATCACACCGAATGAAAGCACACAGAAGAACAAACATCATCTGAGACCACTGCCACAAAGAGTCAAGAAAACACTTTCATGCTAAAAAGAAACATTCTGTGATGGTTACCAGGGATAGTGGGAGAGAGAGAATTATTCACAGGCTAGAGAGTAGACGTGTTAACTTGGGTGACGACGGGGAACGCAATGTATAGTAAGAGGGAGGTCGGCAGAAGAAAGGTGAAGGGAGCAAAGACACGGAAGAGTGCAAGAGAAAAAATGCTTTAATTTTGAAAAAAAGGATTAACATGTCATTATTTATTGACACAGAAGGATGTCCAAAGTAGAGAACAGCAGAAGTTGATTAAAAAAGAAAAGTCTACTATAGCGCTATCTATGTTTCATAAAAAATGCTGAAGGCTAAAGGCCTACGAGAGGAGACTGGGATATGGGGACGTGGGTTGGGGAGATGGTGCACAGGGAAATACAATTTTGAGATCAATTCCTTGATTATTCTTTTAGGAAAAGGTAAGTCCATACAGGATATTAAACCATAAAGGAAGAAGGCAGGCAACTTGTGACTGGCACCTTAAGCTATGATACTAATCCTGGATCAGCGCTGGCATCTTGGGGTTAATGATTAGACTGCAGTTACCTGGTAGCAAGTCTGTTTCCTAGTATATAGGAAATGCACACAGTTAAGAAGTATGTGGGATCATGTCTACAACTTATGAATCAGAAGTGCTCACAAATGGCGAATCTGATACAAGGGCAGATGGGAGTACCATGGCCCGTTTCTACAACATTCCTGTAGATCTGCAACTATTTCAAAATAAAGTTTTGAAAAAGGAGCTCATATGCCATAGACTGTTTTGCAACATGGAATGCTGGGAGGGGTATGATTTGGTTTTAAGATGTTAGCTAGATTTTTTTTTTTTTTTTTAAATGACAGGTCTTTATTTTTAAGGACAGGTATTAGCAATACAGTGAAACTTACAAAGATAGTCGCACTAGGCAGTTGTAAAGACATTTGGGAAATTCAGAACCAATGGTAGTTCCTTGGTACTGGGTAATGTTAAGGGGTCATTATTAGTCTTGTTCGTGTGCCATCTAAGAAAATGTCCTTAAATTGTTGAGACACAATCAAGGATTTGTATATGAAAGAGCCTCCCAGGGTGGAACTTGCTTGAAAACTACTTGTTCTCAGGATAACCTTATTGTTGTTAAGTGCTGTCAACTCCAGAACAAAACACTGCCCGGTCCTGGGCCACCCTCGCCATTGTTAGTTTGAGCCCATCGCTACCACCACTATGTCAGTCCATCTCGTTGGAGGTCTTCCTCTTTTTGACTGACCCCCCACCTTGCCAAGCACAATGTCCGTCTCCAAGGACTGGTCCCTCCTGATAACATATCCAAAGTACAAGAGACAAAGTCTCACTGTCCTCACTTCGGAGTATGACAAACTGACAGACGGGTGGTGGGAAGGGTAAGCTCAGCTGAAGCAAAGGCTGCCCTTGTGGTTTGCAGCCCAACTTGTAGCCCACTACGTTACCAGGAATCTTTACAAATGTTGATGCTGTTGGAGTCGGTTCCGACTCATAGCGAGTCTGTACAGGGTTCCCGGGGCTGTAAATCTTTACGGATGCAGAAAGCCTCATCTTTCTCCCATGGAACAGCGGGTAGTTTCAAACTGCTGACCTTAAGGTTCACAGCCCGATTCATAACCACTACGCTACCAGAGCTCCTTTCCAAATGTTGATAGAAGTAGCTCAAAATAAAGTGTGAGTTTCCATAGCCATCAGTGCATGAGAATGTCTACTTTCTCGGGTTCTCACAGACTCTGGCCATTGCCAGACTTTCCATATTTGCAGAATCATTTGGTGCAAATGTCTCCCTGGCTTAATCTGTGCCTCTTCAGTCATGGGTAGTTGCTCTTTCATGTGTCTGTTGGTCACTAGGGTATTTTTGTGAACTGTCCTTACCCTTTCCTAACTCGTGGATAAAAAAGGTATCTCCCTTTCTTGATACTGCTTGAGTTTGTTTACATGATGGACATTTCTAGTATGTACAGAACTAGAGCGGATACTGTGACAGCTTCCTTGAATCCCTCTTGAAGCCTCAACAGTTATCAATTCCTGACCAGCTCTCTTTCCTCTCTCATCCATCTATCCCCTACCACTCATTTCACTGAAACAAATCCCTGCCTGATGTTACTTCCTTCACAATTATTTCTGTATAGGTCTCTATAAAAAACAAACAAACAAAAAAATGCCCATGCTACCTACCATCACCTCACCTAAGAAATAGCAATAATTGCTTTATAGCACCAAATAATCAGGCCTCGTCGTTCCCTGGATATCTTAAATGTTTGGCTTGCTTTTACAAAATGTGTATTTGAACAAGGATCCAAACAATATCTATTCATTGCAATTCATCTAAGAAGTCTCTTTTTTAATCTCTAGGGGTTCTCCTTTCCCCTCCACCCATCTCCTTTTTTTCCCCCCTTGCAATCTCTGTTGAAGAAGCCCAATTGCTTTGCCTTACATTTCACAGTCTGGGTGCTACTGATCACAGCCCTATAGTGTCACTTAACAAGTGCTTCTGTCTCTTATATTTCCTCTAAATGGTATTTCAGGATAGGTCCGATCATCAGACAACATCTTTGATATCCCGTGCAAATAAAGTTTTACTAAAGGTAATACAGAAATGGCTGCAAGCATACAGTGACAGAGAATTTCCAGAGGTTCAAGCCGGATTCAGAAGAGGACATGGAACAAGGGATATCATTGCTGATGTCTGATGGATCTTGGCTGAAAGCAGAGAATACCAGAAAGATGTTTACCTATGCTTTATTGACTATGCAAAAACTTTCGATTGTATGGATCATGACAAGGTATGAACAACATTGCAAAGAATGAGTATTCCTGAACGCCTAATTGTGCTCATGAGGAATCTGTACATGGACCAAGAGGCAGTTGTTTGAACAGAACGTGGGAACACTGAATGGTTTAAAATTAAAAAAGGTGTGCGTCAGGGTTGTATTCTTTCACCATACTTACTCAACCTGTATGCTGAGCAAATAATATGAGAAGCTGGGTTATATGAAGAAAAAAGTGGCATCATCATTAACAACCTGTGATATGCAGATGATACAAGTTTGCTTGCTGAAAGTGAAGAGGACTTAAAACATTTACTGATGAAGATCAAAGACCACAGCCTTTGATATGGATTTCATCCCAATGTAAAGAAACCAAATATCCTCACCGCTGGACCAATAAACAACATTCTTATCAATGGAGAAAAGATTGAAGTTGTCAAGGACCTCATTCTTCTTGGATCAACTATCAACACTCATGGAAGCAGCAGTCAAGAGTTCAGATGATGTATTGCATTAGGCAAATCTGCTGCACAAGACCTTTTTAAATTGTTAAAGAGCAAAGATGTCAGATTGAGGACTCAGGTGCGCCTGCCCCAAGCCATGGTATTTTCAATCACCTCATATACATGCAAAAGCTGGACAGTGAATAAGGAAGACTGTAGAAAAATTGATGCTTTTGAGTTATGGTGTTGGAGGAGAATATTGAAAGTGCCATGGGCTGCCAAAAGAACTAACAGATTTGTGTTGGAAGAAGTGCAGCCAGAGTGCTCCTTGGAGGCCAGGGTGGCCAAACTTTGTCTCTCATACTTTGGCCATATTGTCAGAAGGGACCAGTCACTGGAGAAGGTTATCATGTTTGGTAAGGTGAAGTGTCAGAAAAAGAGGAAGACCCCAGTGAGATGGATTGGCAAAGTGGCAGCATCTGTTGGCTCAAGCGTGGCAACAATCGTGAGGTTGGCCCAGGACTGGGCAGTGTTTGGTTCTGTTGTGCATAGGGTCGCTATAAGTCAGTACTGAGTCAAGGGTACTTAATAACAACAACAATTCCGCTTCCATTGTTGCTTTTGCCGGAATCCTTCCTACGCAGCGCTGCGCTCTCCCATAGTTGTCTTTATTAATGTTGGCAGCCCTTACCTAGCCCCATGACTTCTTAAAGACAGCACATTGCAGCCTCTCGTGACTGTAAGGAGCGCTGGGTGCATCTATTGGCCCCATTGCACTGGCTAGGACAGCAGAAAGAACGTGGACAGCAGCGAGAATACACCCCACCCCCTTCTTTCGCAACTGAGGTTCATTAGGGACTGTCTGTGGTGTCCTTGGACCCTTCAGAGAGGAGCTCTTAGAGACCCTGATTCACTCAGAGCATACCATCAACCTCAGGGTCACGGGACAAGTAATGTCTCACTGGGGCTCCGCTCTGGCTGCACACCTGCCCTCAACTCATGCCCAGCTCCAGCCCAAGGATGTCTGTGCAACCCACTGGGACTGCCCTCCCTCCCTTCTTTCCCAGATGGACCTCTCACTGGACACAGTAATTCTGGTTTTCATCTCCACAGGGCAGGCCAAGTCTCTGAAGACAACTGATGACTTGCTGGCAATGGTGGCAAAGCTGCAGAAAGGTCCTGGGACACCTGGTCTGAGGCTCGGCCTGGGGCTAGGCCTGGGGCTCGGAGACAGAGAGCTGGGTGGGGTTCAAGCCCAGCCCCCGCAACTCACAGCCTTAGGGGAACCCTGCCATTACTGTTCCTCCCTCTTAGACAGTCTAATCAACAGAGCCTAAAATAGGGCTCCACAGTTGAAAAGTCACCAAGTCCAGAGGAGAAAACATGCCATCCTCCAACACTCCCCCATTTCTCTGCCTCACAAGCCAGCAGCAATTGGTGAAAACTAAAAAAATAAACTTTATGTATTGTAGCAATATATATATATATACAACATTTGTGATACCAACCACTTTTACATGTGCTGTCCAGCCTCACCAGGCATGTTACCCTGCCATCTACACTATCCAGTCCCACAGCTTCCCCCCCCACGCCCCCCCAGGCTAACCATTACTGAATGTAATGGAAACCTTGGCCTGACTACCTACAGTCGTGGTCACAGACAGTATCTGTCCCTTTGTAGACAGATTTTAAAGTGTAAAGCAGTTTAAAATGTAAGAATTTTTCAATTCTCAGTGTCTTTGTACAGGTGCTTTTTCATAAGTTCACGAGTATGTACTCACTGCCTACCCTTTATATACACAAAGGAGAAAAGGTCATTCAGCTGCTGCTGGTGTACCTGGCGGTGTTTGTTGAAGGGGACTAGGGGGTCAGCCAGCACGCAGTACCCACCTCAGGTAGTGCAAGGGTTTGATGCTGCCCCCACCCCGCCTGGCCCCAGTCTATCTTCATCTTCCAACTCTCCATCCAATCCAATCTAAGGGAGCCCTCCATGGTCGCTGTAGGCAGAAGCATACTGGAGCGGCTGTCCAGGCTAGGTCTCCATAGACAAACTGCAGGATTGGAGATGTACCAAGAAGCCCAGCTTCTGAAGTAAACCAAAGGTCCGCCCTGGGATTTCAGTCCTTTGCCTCACAATTTGCAGAGCACTTCCTTTTCTGGGCCTAATGAAGGGACTGCACAGTGCTTAGGGCTGGCAGTGAGACCATAATGTGGGGGCGGCTTCTCTTTCTGCCTCCTGGGCCCTGCTGACCTAGGAGCCTGAGAAGGATTAGGAACAAAGTACTGAAACTGAGCATTTAGAGATGACTAATGCAGCACTGAGCTCGCTGCCACCCCCACAGCATGAAAGCAGTGTGTTCCCCTTTTCTCAAATGAGGCCATGTGAGAGCCCAGAGGAACAGATGGGAGCAACCAGCATCCTGCCAGCCAGGCTTTAACAAGGCTCCGGGGCTCCCAGTGCACTCAGAATTCCATCTAACATCTCACCTGGGTACAGTAGGCCCAGCGAGATGACCCGCTTCCCTTTCACCCACTTTACCTCCCGCCACACCAGTCCCTCACTGCTGCTTTGCACACTTGCCTCATTTGCCTGCACAGTGCCTCATTTGCCTGCACAGTTTGTACCTGCTGCTTGCTCCATCTGGAATACCCCCACCCTGAGCACCACAGTGCCTTTCTCCTCACTTCATCCTACTTCTCTCTGCTCTTCAACCTCCACAGTTCCCCTCGCAGCAGGTGCTACCTGCCACCTGACCTGACATCAAACTTGCCCTTCTTTCCTGCCCATATCCCAGCCCAGCATGGGCCTGGCACAGAGCCCAGCACACAGCAGGTGCTCAATAGATGCATGGTGACTCCATCAGGCACGTCTGGCTCAGTCTGTCTTTCCTTCTGCAGAGGGGAGCCTGGAGCCACAGATCGAGGACCTGATCCACCGCATTAACGCGCTCCAGCAAGGTAAACTGAGGCCACCAGAGCCTGCACTTCTGCATCCGAGGCCCCTGCAGGGCGATTTCAGGACCCATGAGAAAGGTCTGCAGGAGAACAGGCAGGCTGGAGCCTGGCTCACACAGCGTCTCCTTCCCTCCTTTGGTTTAGCAAAAAGGAAAGCCAGCGAGGAAGTGGGAGAGGCCCTTGCGCTCTGGGAGGCCCTGCACCGGGAGCTGGACTCTAGTAAGTGGGGATCAGGACCCGGACGCCCGGCCCCCTGCATTCTCTCTGAGGCTCCACCTCCAGCCTCCACTCCCTGGCTTCCAACACTCTCGGCATGGTGACCCACATGGCCAGTGCTCTCTTACATCTCCCCTCACACTGCATGCAGACTGACTCTTCCCCTGTGACACTCCGCTTAATGTGTTCCTGCCAAGCCCCCACTGGTGCCTGTTGAGTCCTTCTCCCCTCCAAGTCCATCAGGTGCATTCTGCAGGCCATTCAAGCCTGTTCTCAGTGCCCAAGGCACCACCTCTCCGGGAACCCACAGACCTGGGGCGTGGCTCCTGTTTGCGGGTGGAGTGGGAGCTCAGGACTTGGCTCCCCCTGGTCTGAAGTGTCACTGTATGTTCTAGTGAATGTGGAAAAAGTACACCTAGAAGAGATCCTGAGCAAAAAGCAAGGTACTACCTCTCACTGCCCTGCTTATTCTACTAACCATCTGACAGAGTGCTGTAGGAGAAGCACTGGACTGCTAACCTCAAGGTTGGTGGTTCAATCCCACCAGTTGCTCTTCAGAAACCTTATGTCGGGTAGCTATGAGTCGGAAATGAGTGAATGGCACCTAACAGCCAGACAAAAGCCCATCTGTTTAAACCCGAGTCCCCACGCTTCCCTCTCAGATCTTCCCATTACTGCCACTGCCCTCAGAGTGACCACCAGTTAACCTGTGATGTGGGCCCCAGGACCCCCACCCATGAGTTGTCACAAGGCCCCTTGGGGTGTTTCTCCACAGAGACACTGAGGATCCTGCACTTGCACTGTCAGAAGGACCATGCTGGACAGAGGTAAGGGCCTGGCCACCTCTTCCCCCTGGAGGGAGGGAGGGAGAGCTAGAGAAAGCACCTTATGTCCCTGCTGAAGAACAGAGCCATCAAACAAGAAACTGCCCACTCAGCTCTGACAGGATGTGGTGATGTCACCTTTAACAGGTTTGCCAACTTGTTTATGAAATGAATTCCTTCTGCTAGGGTTTTCTCCATCTTTCCTCGTTACTCATCCAGCTCCTCTGCCTGCCAACCATGTGTCTGTACATTCAGGCTTCCACTCATCCAGTTACTCGGCCATCCGTACTTGGTCTACCCATGCATTAACCCAACCAGCCCTCCATCCTTCTAGTCACCCACAGAAGGAGCTCTGGGAGCGTAGTGCTTACAAACCTCAAGGTCAGCAGTTCAAAATGACTAGGGAGAAAGATGAGGCTTTCTGCTCCCAGAAAGATTTACAGTCTCAGAAACCCTGTGCAGGGTCACTATGAGTTGGAACCGACTCACCAGCACGCCACACCACCACCACTATACACACATGTGTCCAGTCCTTCAACCAACCAGACAGCCATAATCTCTCCAAGTGCCTGTCTTCCACCCATCCTCTTCAGCCTTCCAACCATCCCTTCACCTCACCTTCCTCTCAACAGTCTTTCATTTCTCCACCCAGCCATCTGTCCACCTTCAGCACAGGTATTTACACAGCCCTGGATACAGCCTCATGCATGGAAGCGACACAATTTCAGTGTGTGGGGAATCCTGATGATGGTGTGTGTGTGTGTGTGTGTGTGTGTTTTCTGAGGACTCTGTTCTTTACTGACCTAATCCTCCTGAGGACATTTACAGGCGTGGAGACCAAGGCTGTCCTCCCTCCACCAGCAGCCTTTTCAAGATGAAGACATAAATCCAGAGAGGTGGAGTGACTCAGCTAGGGTAGCAGATGCAGACTTTCAAACCAGGACTGTAGAATCTCCATGATGCACAACCACCACACTCATCACCGGGGTTTCTTGGGAAGACCAAGTCTTGACAAGAGACAGATGGACAGGGTGATGGTCTCAACAGAGCCCCAAAAAGTTCACATTCAAACAATGGAAGCAAGAAAGGGGATACTGGGAACACACCCCCATGCCCATTCCTGCAGGTGCAAGCGTGACACAGAAACCATGACTGAGGGCTGCCTTTCCCTTCTCAGGAAGCATGTGTGGCAGGACAGCCCGGAGCACGTTTCCATCCTTGACTCTCAGAGCGCAGAAAGGAATGAGCAGAGGAGGCTGGGGTAACTCACCCCGGAGCCTGGGCCTGGTGGGCCTCTGGGTGTGGTAGGAGGACCAAGGGAACGTTTGTGGGAAGAGGAGCTGTGGGAACCAAGACCTAAGGGATCAAGCCCATGAAGGTTCTTCCTGCAGAGGGAGCGGACCGGGAAGAGGTCAGCAGGCCTGTGGTGAGGAGCCCGCAGCCTTGACAGGCCTCACTCCTGGGTGGCCGGCCCCTAGGGTGGATGTTGAAGAACAGTTGGAGGAGCTGATGGGCCAGCACAAGGACCTCTGGGAGTTCCATGTGAGCCATCTCCAGGGACACTCCTCCAGCTTTAGCGTCTCCAGTGGACAGCGCCCCTCCCCACTCAGCCCCTCTACTCCACTCTCCATGCAATCCCTCAACTGTTAGCAGGGCACTTCTCCTGCCCCGCCGCACCACACCGAGCACCTTAGGCCCAGACGGTGAGACTAGCATGGCCGATCCCTCCTGCTCCACCTACAATGGGAACCCCACAGAGGCTCCAAAGGTCTTTCCTGCCCTCAGCTGATGTCCATCAGGGGAGGGGGGCACTGGTGAGCCAAAGGACAAGGGTGCTGTCTACAAGCTGGTTGGGCACAGGGGAGGCACACGACCTGGAGACAAGACAGTCAGCAGGTGAATTGATCCTGTGGTATCCAGGGGGATGTCCAACTGAGCAGCTGATGGACCTGAACCACGAGTCAGGGAGGATGCACCCAGGGAGGCACCGGGGGCCAAGGCTGAGTCAGACTACTGTTGTATGGTGCATTTGTGGAATGGCGGAGGGGGGAGGTATACAGGGGGTAGGAACAGGTCAGATGCAGAGGTACATGGGTCCCTTCCAGAGGCTGGCCACAGCAGAAAATGCACATGGGGTTCCTAAGTAGTTGGATGAATGATCTAATTGGGGTTGGGGGTGGGGCTGGGGCGCAGTGCCTGACTGACAGACTGACTGAATGACTGACAGACCTCCTCTCCTGGCAGATGCTGGAGCAGCGACTGATCCGGGAGATGGGTGCCCTGGAGTGTAGCAAGGCTCAGCTGCTCACTGATGGTGAGCCTGGGGCGGGGGCGGGGCCAGGCCCAGCCTGCCTGAGTCCAGCCCTATCTGACAGCCTGGGGGTCCACAGAGACGGTGGTGCGAGCCAAGCTGGAGGAGGTGGGGCGCAGGCTGCATTCACCACTGGAGGTCCAGGAAGCCCTGGCCTGGAACAACCAGCCCCTCCTGCAGAACCCTGAAACCACAGCCTTCAGGTGAGAGGAGGGAAGGGGTCAGAGGACCTGGGATGCCTCACCAGCCCCTCACCCTCCTGCTTGACCTCTGTCTGGGGGTTCTCTAGACTCCTGCTCTCCCTCTCTCTCTCTCCTCCATGGCACTTTTCCCAGGCTGCCAGCGGAGCTGGAGTTGGTCCAGCACCAGGTCCCTGCCCAAGCCCAGGCTGCCCCAGAGGATGAGGCCTGCAAAGGAGAAGTAGGAAGCAAGGGACAGGGGTGAAGCGGGTGGGGTGGCCCCTGTGATGGGCCTGTGGGGAGAAGGTCCCCTTCCATGTGGGGCCAAGACCTGGGTGGAGGTGAGGGTGCAGAGCCAGATCCCCACAGGCCAGGACCTTCTCCCCAGTGCTGTCTGTGAGAACAATGGAGAGCCCCCCCTAGAGCTGGCACTGCTGCCCCCTAAGCCGCCTGGATCTCCCAGTCAAAGCCTGCCAGGAAATAAAGGCCCTCACTTCCTGGGCTGAGTCTGTGTGCCTGCAGTCTGTGGGGTGGAGGGACTAGCCCCAGGCAGGTGCCTCTGAGCAGGTGATGGAGTAAGTGAGGGTCACGGCCCCCCTAAGGATGCAGCCCCAACTCCCACTGCCTCATCCAGGTTCCTGAACCAGCTAGTCTTCCAAAGAGCTGGAGCTAGGGGAACCTGTTTGAAAACTCAGTCAGTAGGTCCTGCCCCTCTCCTGTGACTAAGGTAGTCTCCAGCCTCCTAAAGTCAACTGCTCCAGACCCTGGGACCTGCCTGCCCCCTCCACATGCAGTTGTAGTTCCCCAGAAACTTGGCCACACTTCCCAATACTCTAAGCAACCTCCTGGGGACTTCTGTTCACACCACAGGTCTGTTCAGCAGGTAGGCTCCTCAGGGAGGTGGTCCGAGCTCTTGGATGTTAGCTGTGTCAAATCCAGGTTGCAGACTTGACCATTGTGATCCCTAGAGTTTCCCGAGCTGATCTTCAGAAACAAGTCTCCAGGAGTTTCTTTCTAGTCTGTCTTAGTCTGTAAGCTCTGCTGACATCAGCCACAGCGGGTGGGGTGGGGTGGGGTGGGGGGTCAGTGGGGGAAGGTGGCCTGTGACATGCCTCGGTGGAAACTGAATCCAGCTCTCACTAAGCAGATGCTCTCACTACACTGTCATTACCAGACACGTGTTTGCCATGGGGCCAGGGCAGGTCTCCTGACAAGAGTCTCACCTGGCTCAACAGCCCCACGTACCAAACAGAAACCAACATTGCTTGCCACAGTCTCGGGTATAGCAGTTTCCAGAAAAACTCAGACTGATGAGTTTTTACTCAGCATTTAGGATTTACTCAAAATTCTTCCCAACCTAGATAGAGTTTACGAATTCGGGGTCATTTTCCCATAATCAAGATTGAATCATAGCTCAGCTAACATCTCACCTCTATCATATTTTCCTATAAAACAGAAAGTTAGCCCACAATCCAATTTATGCAAGATAAAAGGGTTTTCTAAATAGCTGTCTCTATTCCTCAAATCGGAATCCTAGTGTGGCACTGTGGGTTAATGCGCCAGACTGCAGAGCCATTTGAACTTCAAGGTTGGCAGTTCAAGCTCACCAGTTGCTTCTTGTAAACCCTATATAGGGTCACTATGGGTCGGAATTGACTCGACGGCACTCAACAACAACAGCATTCCTCAAATCTGTGAGCAAACTTATTCCAAAATCTCAATTTGAGCATCTCTTTCCTGAGGTCACTTCCAGTTCTAATACTGTATCAGTCAGAATAGGCTCCAGAAAATAACATAACATCCAAACTAGGTAAATGAGGAGAGTTGAGCAAAATGTCTGTTTACAAACTTATGGAATGGGCAGACTCAGGCTATGCAGAATGAGATGCGGAAGAGGGAAAGGGAAGAATCCGATTTCAGAAGTCACACCTAGAGGAAGCTACTGGAAAGGACAACAGGGCAGAAGCAACTCCGCAAGGAGGGAGCTAGGTCCTCCTGACCTCCTACTCAACGCCTTTGGAGGAACCAACCAGAAGCCAGAGGAAACGTGAGACCACTGATGTAAATTGGCCGTATGTGGCACAGATTGGGGTGCAGAAGGTTGAAGAGGGGATCTGGACAGTCCAAAGGCAGAGATCTCACACAATCCAGTAAGTTTACTTCCAATTTCTGTCTCTGTAAGCCTTTGGATTCCTTCCTTTGTGCTATAGCAGGGAAGTCCTAGCATCAATGACCTTATTAAATATAGAGCACATTGTGTCCACCAAGGGCTAACCAATCAATGATGTAAACAGAATAGAGCTTCTTCTAACTGCTAACAATTCAGTGTCCGGTAAGTACACCACCCAGTTTAATAAATGTGTTCCATCCAGCCTGGGCTTCTGAAAGTCAAGTAGGTAATGATGGCTCATGTTCAGCTCACAACCCCATGGTCATTTCCCCATTTCTTGAGTGCATAGCTGAATAGATTGCTTGTTAGAAGGAATTATTCCCCGCAGTGGCTTCAGGGCCTATGGGCTAGCAATGATCAGGGTAGGAGGACCAAATGGAAAACCTAAGAACCCCTCCCCCCCCTTCCAACAATTAGGAGCCATTATTATTCCTCTTCATACATTATTTAAGTTCCTACTGATATAAATGAGCTAAAACCATGCAGTTCTTTCAGGTCCCCATCCTTCGGTTCACACTTTCCACTGAGTTGTACCTACTCTGAGGCAAGCTTGAAAGAGATTCTTACTATGGCTCTGAAAAACAGACAGGTAGAATTAAGTCTACAGGAGAGGTGGAATCTCTCTATGAGGCAACTGCCTGAGATGAGATTAAGGATTCTTGTGTATTAGAAAAGAGTCTGGCTGGCATAGTGGGTTATGTACTGGACTGCTAACCACAAAGTCAGCAGTTCAAATCCACCCGCCACTCTGAGGGAGAACCAGGAGGCTCCCTGCTCTCATAAAGATTTACAGCCTCAGAAACACTACATCCAGTCACTGTGACACAGTGGCAGTCGTTTGCCTTGGTGTGGTGAGTGATGAAAGTCTACTTTTGTCTTCAAACACGGAGGTGTGTTCTTTCCACTGGCAAAGGAGGCTCAGTGGTATTTGGAGGCTCAAGACTCTCATAATCACGTTTGTACTAATCCATCCAAATAAATATTCCTCCAGTTCTCTAAGTCTTCCTCCCAATCAATTAATGCCCTTCCATATAAAAAGTAGTGATGTTGTAAAATTGATTTATACTATAATTCTGTAATCCATGGTCTGATTTTCTGTTACAGATGTATGATTTTTTTATTATCTTAGTGGAAGTTTTCTTCGTCTTTGACCTTGCCTTGAGCTGGGTGTTCAAGGTCTACATGAATCGGAAGCAGACATCCTGCCCCACCTTTGTTGGGGTCTTCATTCCCATTTACCGTGGTGAAGTACACCAGTCCCCTGTGCCCCCCAAAGCTTTTCTCCCCTCAAAGATTCTACCCCAGCCACCACAGGCGGTAAGTCACTTGACACTGCAGGCCACAGAGTGAGTACTGGTGCCCTCTTGTCTCCTAGCCACGAGTTCAAACCCAGTCATGGCAGATCACCCAGTCTCAGAGTCCTGTTTCTTACAGTCTGGTTTCTGAAACAGAAACCAACATGAATCTATCCAGCAGTGAGGGATTTAGATGGGGACTTGGTTATAAAGGTATTAGAAGAATTGAGGAGCTAACAGGAGAATGGAAAGATGAGGCTCTTAACCAACATTTACGAAGCTATCACTCTTTGACTGGAGCCCCGAAGTCCTCACTCACATCTGAGCTACACGGGAACAACAAAAATGTTCCTTTTCTTCCTGCCTCTCAGTATACCATCAGTGAGCCTTCCCAGGCATACCCCTAGTAAACACTCGAGCAACACAGAATTACAGAGAGAAGGAGCAAGGCAGAGCTGAGCACCAAGAGACACCATTGGGCAGATGCCATTTCTCTCTTCTCCCCTTTTCCAAATAGAAATGTATACCATGGTTTTCCTGTTTTCCAAAAGTCACTGTTACTTTGAACAGTTGGAGGGGTAGATTACCCTCATTTAGCCACAGATTTTTTTGTGAGGTTTTGTAAAAGCACATACAGATCTGGCAAATGGAGATCATATCCTTTGATTGGTAAATTCTGGTAGCCACTGGCAGTCTTTGGCTTGTAATCCCACCACTCTAACCTTGAAGTCCAGACTCTTGAAATCTCTCTCTGCTTCATCCTCACAACCCCTTCTCCTCCGTGTGTCAAATCTCCCTCTTCCAAGGATTCATGCAATTGCACTTAGGGTACCACTCAGCTTAGAGTCATCTTCCCCTCTGTAGATCATTAACTGAAACACATCGGCAGAGGTCTGGGGTAGGATGGCAGAGTAAGCAGTCACACTGAGCTGCCGTTCGGCAATAAAGACATGAGAGACCAAATGAAACGGACAGTGATCCTGGAACCCTGATCATCAGAGGATGAGACAGAGAGGTGGGCTGAGTGCCAACTGGAAGAGGAAGCTGAACAAAGGCAGTGAGAGAAGAAATCCAGGTGCACTGTGGGCTGGCGTGACACAGTGCAGTCACCTTGACCTTTGGCAAGTGGCTGTTGGTACAGTGGCCTGCAGACATTGGATGCTAATTCAGCCAGCATTGGCAGCCCTCCTGTGTAGCCTCTTCTGTGTCTGTTGTCGGAAACCTGACATAGAACTCCTGCTTCTGAAGACATGTGAACCCACCCTGGAGTGTGCCATACAAAACGAACAGAGAACTAACTGCAGTCACACTTCCAATCTCTATCACAACCACCAGGAGACAGGTGGTGAGTGCCAGAGAATAATACACCCACATGGAGTCCTGGTGTGGTGCTGTGGGTTAGTGTGCCACACTGCAAAGTCGTTTGAACTGCAAGGTTGGTTTCTCAAGCTCACCAGCTGCTCCTTGGAAATCCTATACACAGTCACTATAGGTTGGAACCGACTCGATGGCACTTAACAACAACAACATGCAGTTATCAGAAAAATATAAATACCACACCACAATGTCTTGGAGAAAACAATTTCAGCTTATACAATGAAACAAGACAAGAGTGCCTACAAGTGGCAAAAATAGAGAGTCAGAAAATATGACAGAAGAAATGATATTGGAACTATCTGACAAGGAATTTCAAGAATGCTAATTAGGCAACTTAACAGGTTGAGAGAAAGACTGAGAAAACTACAGATGCTATCAAAGAAAACAGATAAAACATTTCAGTAAACAAACTGACAACATAATTGAGACAATGGGAATCTTACAAAATCAGCAATTAGAAAGTCAGAAGATTAATACTAAGATTTCAGAAATAGATAATACACTGAAAGGGCAAAAATATACAATTAAATCACTGGAAAGCCTAGCTTGGAGAACAATCTCTCAATGTTCACCCGTTAAAGGAACAATCAGATAAAAGAGTAAAAAAAAATCTGAAGAAACCTTCAGATTTATGTGGGACACAATCAGAGGAATAACTTATGTG